TATAAACTCATGTACATACACACAAGTTGTGCCTCTCCTTTCACGCTCGTCCTATTTTTACTGCAGAAAAACCGCTAACTCGTGAATCAGAAAAGCTAAGGCTAAAATTTCCAGGGGATGTTCCCAGCCTACGTACAACTTAAAAATTTCAAATTCAGTCCGCAGTTGCTCGTGGTACTCATGTACGTCCCTGTAAAAGTTTCTGAAGGAAAACCGCCAACTCGGGAACCAGAAAAGCCAGAAAGTTGAAATTTTAAGGGGATGTTCCCTCCCCAGTAGAACACAAAGGTTTCAGATTTAGCCCCTCAGGCGTGCGTGGTTGCTATGTGTGATCCGTGGAAATTTTTGATGGGAAAATAGTTAACTCAGGGACCAGGAAAGCTGGGAACGCATGAGGTATGCGTGATCCTCACGGACGGTCCGCGAAAATTTTTGATGGAAAAGTCGCTAATTCGGAGACCAGGAAAAACAGAAAGCTGAAATTTTGGGGTGATGTTTCTAAGTGCCGTGTAGCTGCACAATTAATTTCCTGAACTTGAGGACCAGTACGCCATAAATTCTAGCTACTGGGACTTCAAGTGATCTTACAACAGCACTAAATACTGCAAAAACTCTTGATCGCACGGGCCCACTGGTGCGTGTTGCCAATGATCTATAAATTATTTCTTTAAAAAATTTATCATCCCCGCATCGTCGAATTCCAGCTGAGATCTTATTGAATTGCATAGATTATAATGAAAGCAAGCATTTTGCAACACAATCTAATAATTTTTCGAATGGTAATTAATTGAAAAATCACAAGTCTATTTTCATGCAAAGATAGTATCGCTAAATTTACATTGCTTTAATAGTAAGGCGCACTTCTAGCTTGTTGCAGCTCGTATACCCGCATACATTGCTCGGTCTGTGTTTGCAGCTAAAGGATAAAACACAGGCTACATCGTAAAATGTCTTCTGCCACATGACACTTAAGACCAGTCCTTCTATTTTACTACTTCCTAGCTAGCTGCAACACAAATTCAGCGGATAAATCCATTAAAATATGTGGCTGTTACAGCGTCATCCTGCGTAGGGGGTAACCTGCGTTCCGTTAAAAAATGAAGGTGGAAACTGTCTTTAGAGAATTCGTTTCGCATTATGACTGAATTAACTAAACAAGCTTTGGCCCTGCATACAAACCAGTGTCATTGAATTTCAGGCCCTGGCTCCAGTTCATCAAGTCAGACGCATTGGATTTTGAGGATACTAATCAGGGATTCGAAGCAAGAACTGGAGACGGTAGTAAAGAGGAAGGAACAACAAGCATTACAAAGTGAATTAAAAAAAAAAAAAACTGAACTTATGAAAGGAGAAACGAGTAGTGGGCTTGCCTATTTATGAAGCCGATGCTTGGGTAAAGCACTCAGCTTCCAGGTTTTTCGTTTGCTGAGAGCTTGCCTCCAGTAGTGAGTTCCCGTATTTATGAATCTGATGCTTAGGTAAAGCTGCGGGTTCTCACCTTTACCTTTGCAGCTTCACCTTATTCGCTTTCAGCTTTACTTATAGATTGAAAAGTCTCCTATTAATGGCGTTTTTTCCTTTAATTTTCTTGTTTTTCTTGATTTTGCTTTCTTCCTTACTTTTTTTCTT